TCCCATGTTCCGCCAGTTAACCCGATCCTGTGCTTGCTGCTGCCAATTTATACCCGCAAACTTCTTAATCCCATCTGCCCACCTAACCTTCTGTCTCCCTCTAACCCGCTTGGCTTCTCTTGGAATCCAGTTAGTTACCTTTAACGACCAGCGGTTATCCTGTCTAGCGCTACATGCCCGGCCCATGTCCATTTCTTCTTCTTGATTTCAGCTATGATATCCTTAACCCCCGTTTGTTCCCTAATCCACTCTGCTCTCTTCTTGTCTCTTAAGGTTACACCTACCATTTTTCTTTCCATTGCTCGCTGTGTCGTCCTCAATTTAAGCTGAACCCTCTTTGTAAGTCTCCAGGTTTCTGCTCCGTAGCTATGTGCCGGCAAGATACAGCTGTTATATACCTTCCTCTTGAGGGATAGTGGCAATCTATCTGTCATAATTTGAGAGTGCTTGCCAAATGCACCTTGCAATCGAGCCGAGAAGTTGTGCCCTAAACCTAACTCCATCGTCAAAATAAAAGGGAGGGGGAGAGGAGTGTAGCGGCTCGAAAATTTCTTGGCCTAGTTCTAACCGGGGGCAGAACGCCACTTAAGCTACCTCTGCCGCAGTACGTCGGTGGTCTGCGGAAAAGCATTTTATGATTTGGAAGGGGCTGTTAGCACTAGTTACGGGACATAGCACAGTCTGTTCAATTACTCATGCATGTATACGTCACATAATTGTGAGTACTAATATGATCGCTGATGTCTAAAAATGTTACTGGCAATTATTTAGGCACTGTATGGTATTACTGCAGCCCTACAAAAGCAAAGAAAACTGCGCCACCTCTTTTTTTTTTCTCTACCTCTACTCCTCACTTTTACAAATCTCCCTAATCTCAAGATCGTGTGCTTGGCAGATCCACATTTCTATCTTCAGAGTCTGTCAAAGGATTTCACAGGTGTGGCAAATGCAAATGTGCATCTTATGATTGTTTGCCGAGTGGCCTGGTTCAAAATACTACTTCTATTGAAATAGGAGTGTTCATATTGACATTGTAGGATTTAGAGAATGTCGAATGGTTTGTGCATTTTTTTAGATACTTTTTTTTTTCATGTTGCTCTAAATGGGGTCTTTTGTGATAAAAAATTGGTGTTTTTTCTCCCGTGACCTGCTCCAATTTTGGGTTTTTGTGCTCCAAAAGTAACATTTTGCTGCTCCAAAAATTGCTCCAAATTCTATTTCAGCTGTTGCACCCCTGCCTTTGCCACTCGCCCGGTGTAGGTTTTGCAAGCCAAATTCCTCTTCGGTATCAGAGCAATTCGGAGCCGGAAGATCACACGGCACAGACACATCAATACATCGTGTGCACACAAGGTTACATTCTCATGACATGCCCTTGCCAGGTCATGCACACAAGTGGTGTTGTGTCGTTTGGACATTCTCTGTATTGCACTGCCTGTTTCTGTAGGATGGATCGCTCTATGCGCGAACATTTGGAGAGGCTGGCATGGATTGCGTATGCTTACCACAATACACAGTGTCGCACTGCTGGAACTGCTCTAACAGATGATGCACCAAAAATACTCCAACCCTTGAGAATACTCGCACCGACACGACGTGAGAATGGCGAGTTAAACGCAAATGAAAGGCAAGCAGCTTAGTCTTGCATTTCACTCGATATGAAGAAAATAAATAATGCTCATAGATTCCGTTTGTATGTTTCATATTTCTGTCAACTTTCATACTTCTATTCTGGCAACAGATTGCACAAATTGCACACGTCGCCTCGAAATAATTCTCACAGTGTTACCTGCTGCTTTGACGTATGCAGTATACGTCACCTCCACTATGCTGGGGTGCGCACCCGTGAGGTGAAGGTCGAGCAGCATTCACTAAGACATTTCATCTCCTTCCGGGGTGCGTAGCATTGCAAGTGCTACACGCCCCGGATGGCTCGCGATCAAGTGATGAGATTGTGAGCGCCCTGTGAATGCATTCCTCTTGGTGAATGGCTTTTTAAAGAGACACTAAATTCAAATAACAATCTACATCAAAGTGAAAGCTCAATGTATGATAACGTCTAAAACGACAATATTATCAACAGCAGTGCCCTACTTACCGAGCACAAGAATACATGCGCTCAGTAAAACATTCTCAAAATGATACCGATGACGTCAGACGAACCGCCTACAAATAATCACTAGTAATCAATCTAGCAGTACTAAATAAAGAACAATACGTGCATCAGAAAATGCAATAAAATGCTGCTTGTTCGTTTTATATGTTTGACTGATGAAAAAAAAGAACAGCCGGACTTTACCATGGAGAATGGCGTGACTGGATGGGTCGTGCCATCTAGTGGGGCACAGTTGAACCAAAAAACACCTCTGCCATCTCGGAGCCAATGGCAGGACAGGATCAATGACCGTTGTTGCTGCTGTGGCTCCCGCTGCTTTCATTCTGCCGCTACTAGTGTCGGCTGCCGTGCAGTAAAGCCGGGCAACTTTGTGTACGGCAACAGTGACGTGAAACGTTCCGTTTGGGCGGGTAATTTTAAGTGCGCTAACCCAATGCAGACCACTAACGTGTGATTTTATTTCAAAATAAGCACTTCCTTGGCAAAAAAAGTAACGCTACGAGGTTGCTGGACCGCCATTTCAACAATCAACGTCAACTTAATAGTTGGCTTTAGTGTCCCTTTTAAGTGTTCACAGACAGAAGAGAAATTGACCCTGTGCGGTTAGACCAAGTTAATACAATTCGAAAAGACTGGCCTCTTAGCGCTCTGGCTATTTTCTCTTGTGTTGCCCTTCTCAGCCATGCTGAAAAGAAAGAGACCCAGGAGCATGCTTATTCGACGGTGGACACTTAACTCCCCATGCTGGACTAGGAAAGGAGGGCCCGTATTCTGCAAACCCTGCAGGAAAAAAATAGCATGGCTATGCTAAACCATTGGCGCCTTTGTACCATTGTAAACTAAAACATTTCTGTTTCCTTTGCTGTCGTAGACACAGATTCCACACGCGTTTCTTTGAAATTTTGAATTTCGTCAAAGTTTATTGTGCCTATGTTTACGATTTTCGGGACCTAAAACAGTGTTTTTCTCACCTGTCTTTGGCACCTAAGATCAGGTTTTTTAGTGCTTATAAATCTGGCCTCTAGTAATAAGTGTCCTCACTTGTCGAAGTGCAATTGTCCTCATGGTGCTTAAAAAGGTGGAAGTGCTTCGGCAGCAGAAGTAAGAGCTCTAAAGAAGGGGATGATTATGATGATGATTTGCTGCTGTACCCTTTGTAACTGGGGGAGTGTATTGGTAGAGGTCTATTGACACCTTTTACCGCATTAATGGCGAACGGCTCCAGTGACCCCCCGTGTTAAAGAATATTTCATTCCTTCAAACTTTTTTCCCAAACTTCTACCATCTGTAGATATTAACGGTAAAGTAACACACATAAAAACTGGAGACCTGAGCCCCTATTATCGAAAAAAAATTTTACATATACTGATTGTATGTGCTTAACCTATCTCTTCTTCGTGTCCACTGAGGTCCAACCTGCTTGCGTCGCAGTTTTACAAGCTGAATTAGGTACTTTAGGGGGCCATATGCACTGCATATGACATCTTTGTTAAAAATTCCTAGAATGCCTGTCCTTTGGCTCGTCAAAGTGTATTTGGGGGGCTTTTTCTTTACCTTCCACCTTTTCTTCCCCACCACTTTTTGCTTTCTGCCACACATCTCGTTTTCCTATATTGCTGCTGCTGCGAGCTGCAACCACAATCATGAGCCACAAACAGCCAGACGTCACTCCCCTGTTCGCACCGTGGCGACCCACTCTCCCGCTTCCGGTTCCTGTGGGGGATCACGCTCTGGACACCCGACATGCTGCATTCTACAGGGAGCCTTAAAAAAAGCTGTCGGCTAGTTAACTTCGGCGCTATTATAGACAGTTGTTTTGGAAGCTTTTAGTCCGATCTTGCTATAAGACATAACACTTTCAAAGATAGAAGGCGGTCACAGGAAGACTACGAGATAAGCATCTTCAGGGAACAGCGAGGATGGTGGCTGACTCGCTAACAAATGTGGCTCGCTTTGACAGATTTACAGCCTTGTGGTGGCGATGACTCGGAGAAGAAGTGTAAGGCAATGAACGTTCTTGTTTTAAGTGCAAAAACGTCGTGCACGTTAGGGACAGTTGCCTGCCCAGGAGTCGACACGACAGCTTAAATTTACATAACGCTGCCCAGCCTGGTGTATTCCTCCCAGAAGCAGCTAGAACAGGTTTCTTTTTTTTTCCAATTGCATTGCACAATAAGTGAAGTTTGCAGAAGACTTGCTTTTACTATTACTCAACAGCCCCAGCTCCTATGCTCTTTAACTCAAACTGTAAATTTCTACCGTTTTTTTCACTTTATGGGGGGTGTTAACTTTTTAGTCGTTCTTTGAAATGCAAAAATAAGATTGATCAGTTTGCACTATGTGCATGAGAGAGCCAGTTATGACTCCAATTATATTTTATATTGATTGCCCTGCAGCTTCTTCACAAAAGTGTTGTGGGTGTAGTTAACCGAAAGTATACACAGAACCAGTGAAAGTTGTGACACTGGAAGTTCTCAAAACACTCTCTAGAAAATATCTTGTGTGCGGCAGGTATCTTCTCAACAACCGAAAACTGGACAGTGCCTCCATTATGCTCAAGGCATAATTGGCTGAAATGCGCTGGGCCGGGCCTAAACATTTTGTGCCCAGGCCGGGTACGGGCCATATTGAAAAACACCAGGCTCGGGTGGGCCGAAGCATGGCGTTTCTGGCCCGTGCAGTGCTCCATCTGGGAGAACATTTAAGGAATTTCATGGTCATGAAAGGTAACAGCATGTTGGAAGTGGATCGTGCATTATTCTTCATTCCAAGATGAACTCAATCATTCAGATGTGCTGTTACTGTCATGCATTACAATCATGACCATCAAAGGGTTAAATGAAGAGCATTTTTAAAGCTTCAGTGATTTGGTGACCTCTTTCAGATAACCAGGCAGGTACCAATGCCCGGCAGTCACCAGTGTTTGCCATGTCCGGCGATGGCACAGATGATGTCACTATACCGCTTGTGTTCCTCTTCACTGAAGATGGTCAACTGCTGCTTGATGCATTCAAAGAGCACCCTAACCTTGTGGTAACCTTGTCAGACCTCAGCATCATCTCGTGTAAGTGACTACACTCATTTTGTACTTTTCTAAATATGTGGATGTCTTCCAATCTTGCTTTTACCTGATTGAAATGTTATAGTGGGTCCAACCATAGCTCAGCAAAATTAAAAAGAACTTAGTCAGACTCAGTCGCAAAAGATATTTCTACTGATGGCTTACTCAGACCTTTATTCACCAAAATTCATCTTAGTCAGGTGTAATTGGAATTGCACACGCCAAAATTGTGCTTAGCCAGGCTCACTTTCAGCTTTGTGACTGCACTTTTATTTTTTTGTACAGTCGATCCCATATATATGGGACTCGAAGGGGATCGCGAAATAGTTCGATATATCAATAATTTGCAATACAAAATATGCGTATTTAAGGCCCAAATTAAAGCATTTCAGGCCTCGGAAATCGTTGCAAGCACTAACATAAGGATTCACTCACAGAGTAATGAAAAACGAAGTGTGAACTGCTAGTTACCGCACTTTATTTTGCGTGAAAACAGTCCGTAAACTTGTCTTACTTCTTGCGCGCCATCAAGTTCCAGTCATCCTCAATATCACTGAAGCTTTTCAAATAAGCGAATTAAGCTCCTTTGGCCACAACAGCGTTGATTGATGCAGAATACCCATGCAAGCTTTGTAGCGTGGCAAAAGGTTGTTTAGCGCTGGCAGTGAAGGTGTTGACATATTCATAACCGCACGAGTACACTTCCGCGGCACCGACAACGGCAGCCATGATCTCAGCATCGATGCAGTCAGAAACAGCTACTTAGACTGATGAAGTTGCTCAATGTCCGAGATGGTGTCCGTAAGTGCTGATATCACCAAGGCACCATACGTCGTCGCCGGTCAAGACACACCCGAAGTCATCATCTGGTCTGCAAGGAAAGTTGGGACGGTGCTTTACTTGACGTCGCTCCAAGCGCCAGTCATAATTTCTATCGCTACGTGTGGGTCAACGTTAAGTTCAACTCCCGAATGAGGATTTATCAGAAACGAGGTGAGAAGTACACAGTTCCACAAGGCGCAAAAGAAAACTTCGAATTCCCACAGTCGACATGTTGGCGATATCGACGTCACTTGTGTCTTTGCATTTGGGAGTTGCTGCTTTCAGCTGCTTTGATCCGAAAAGCTGGAAAGAGTGTAGCCTCCGAGACATACGTTTTAAAACTGAAAACACCAAAAATACGTCACAAGGTTACACATCTCGAAGGCCTTGCTTTTCAGGCTCGCATGCCATTGTGTGCTAACAAACAAGGAAGGGAACGCAAACATTGCAATGAGTTCGTCGAGTCACTTCGTATTCTCATTTTGGTGTCCTTGGCAATCGGTCTTTTCGAAAAACACTATGTCTGCGCGTTAAGACCTGCAGATCACGCACCAAACATGTCGGCGCACTCGCAAGCAACGCGTGATGTACCAGATTAGCCCGATAGAATAACGTCACCTTTTGGTCACCATGCGGGCGCCAAGGGATCGGTACTTGTTAGAATGCGGCTTGAAAATTGATCAATATTTGCTAGGAAATATGCACTTTCTGGGCCTCGGCCCGGCACAGCATTCGGTATAGCGGATGTGCAGCTGTGCAGGAGTTCGATATACGGGTGCACCGGCCCCATACTTTTGCATGAGATAGTCAAGAAGGATTTTTCCATTGTTCAATATAGCCAATAATTCTATATATCCGAGTTTGATGTATCTAGGATTAACTGTATGTAGAGCTGTGCGAATAGCAAAATTTTTGTGTATGGAAGCGAATTCAAATATTGAATTTTTGAGTGCCAATAAAATAGGATATTTCTCTAGTATTTTTCAGATACGAAGCAAAATTACAGAACATAAGTTGCAGAGGATTCCTAAGCATATTCTTATGAGACAGAAACATGAAAGTGTTTCTTTTGGCTATAGTTTGATGAAGCGCTGTTGGGATGGTGTTCCTTAGCTGTCTAACCAAAAATGAGGCATTGCAGAGGATGTGACAGACAAGGGCGCAGACTCGACTCTCTAGAGTTCCCAATCTGCCCAATAGACATCAATGTACGAGAACATATGAAATTTCAGACGCTGAAAACCTTTGGCGTCTGTTTTTTTTTTTTTTACTTCCCAAATTTCAGGTCCAAAAAGGGCATTAATTAAAGCTGCCAGTGCCACCACATCTACCATCTTATTAGTTCGAACAAGCACTTTCTTGAGTCAATCCGTTTGTGGCCATATCAGAGTCTGAAAGGCAGCTTTGCCACAATGCTATATTGTAATGGGGTAAAGCATTTAAAAAAAAAATTTTAAAGGGCCACTGTCACAGTGCAGTGCGGCCATGTCTTTACGGATAAGCACCAGAAATGCATGAAGGCATGATGGTGGCAGGCGGAAAATGTGCCAGTATGACTTAATTGTTGACAGCCCTTCTGATAAGCATCTTCAGCTAATTTCTCAGCAATGCATGTGGCCTAGCGCTGCGGTATGTGTACAACCCAAAAGCGTCGCGTTGCAGTTGATGCTACCTCTTTGTTCGGCACCGCACAAATGTACTGCCTTCATGAACATAAGCAGCTCGCCATCACTGTGCTCGTGTGCAGTTGGGAATGGAGGGGGCATGACAAACACTTTCCTGACAAATGCTTGCACACAGTACAGCGAGTACCCTGGCAGTGCCTGTATCGGCTGAGTTGGCGATGCACTGCACTCAATCAGAAACGATTAGCTTCATGCAGCAGCTCATGCTCTGTAATCGGTGGAGATTCGGAGATCATTTACATGAACACACGCATCGGGCAAAGCCAAACAAATTCTCAACTCTTCCACCACAGTCTCTGTTCTGTGTCATAGTTTCCAAATGCTCCATGCGAGAGAGCCATAATCTAGGTATTTCATACTTTGCTTTTATCAGCGGCACTCATCATGAGATACAAATTTGTAATTGGCAGTTGGCACATAGTCAAGCGGGGTTTGCGATTGGATTTGAACGTGCTTGTGAGAACCCGAGGATGCACCAAAATACCTGATATATTTACTGGGAAACATAAAAGCTATTTCGTACGTGGCTGTGGCAATTTGATCACTCAAACAGAATAAAGACAGTATAAATTCATTTCTTTGGATGAGTTTGCCTTTTCTAGGGAAACTGAAAAGTCAGACATTAGCAGTATTTGTGTTGAGGAAGTTTGTAGTATAGCTAAATTTTAGTGCAAATAAAATCGACTAGCAAACATTCTTAAAATAATATTAGGAAGTTTGAGTATTCGCCCTTTCCTACTTTTATGTTTATGGTACCTGCCTCACTGTTACCTTGCGACACGGGGTGTTCAAATTGGTTGGCTTAAGAAACAAGTAAGACATTGTTAATTTGATGTTGCTGGGAGTGAAACAAGTAAGACGTTTCATGTTGCTTGGAGTGAAACAAGTAAGACATTGTTAATTTGATGTTGCTGGGAGTGAAACAAGTAAGACATTGTTAATTTGATGTTGCTGGGAGTGAAAAATTTTCAATTAAGCAGGCCTTTAAATTGACAGAACATAAAAAAGCAGGATTTGAGGAACTTTGCCAAACTGAATATAATCAGAGATGCTGGATTGTCATGTCCAGTTTGGAAGGCCAGTAATTTGCCAATCCCGATTTTGCCATAAGACCAGGGAAACGGTGGCTCTTGCGAGCCATAAGGCAATATCACGTAGCGATGTTGAAGGCTCAGGTGAAACACTGCAACCTTGTTGCTGCCTTCACAAAGGAAAAAAGGAAAGAAGGAAAAGAGAGAAAAAAAAAGAAAATGATCTCGAAGTCTAAATGCACACTTGCAGAGTAAAAGAGACGCTTCGGTGCAACACAGTGGTAATGTGTGAGGAGCATGTCATGCTCATTGCAGGCGTGTTGTATTATAATGCGAACTCTCTCTCTCTGGAAAAAGAAAGACAATAATAAAGTGTTATTTTTGCAGTATTCGCTACATTTTCTGGCTGAAAAACATCATCATTTAATTTATCAAACTGAGTTTGAACTGAGTTTCAGGATCAACCACGAATCAGAGGTCTGTAATCATCACAAGTTCTGTGACACTGCCTTTTATTATTTTTCCCACTTTTTCCTAAAACAATGGGCAAATGGTTGCATCATGACACATTGACGCTGCAAGGAGCACTTAACACGGTTCCCACATGTGACTGCTGTGCAGTCACACGTCTCTGCACATCTCTGCAGGCGCGCTGTTAAGCTGTCCATTTGGCATCCCATTAACCACTTTTCTTTCTCCTCTCCCCGCTCACTGGCAGCAATGCAATTGGGGTGGTTTGCCTAGCAGTCATCAGCATCGCACCATCACAATTGCTGTGCGTCATTCCCTTGTGGGCTGTAGAAGTCCATCATTTCCACATGGTTAAAGTGAAATTAGGATAGGCAGTTGGCAACTGCTACCTAAAGTTATCTACTGAAATTAATTATGAAATACGGAACTGCGAAACTCTTTGAAATACGTGGGGTTGTAATAACAGAATTCGAATTGATGACATTTTACTGTATGTTGTGTACATATAGGCACGATGGCACAAGTTATATTTCTGGCCACTGTGCATTAGCATGGGGGAAGAACTCAAAAACACCAGTGTATGTGCGTCAAGTTAGGTGCACACCCTTTGCAATCCGAAACCTTTATCCACCCTTCATCTCTTCCATTGTGAAACAAAAAAAAAGAGAATGCTCATAAAAGAAGTTTTTTTTTACTTATTTAGAGATGATGCATAATGCAGTGAGAAAATGAACACATGAATCAACCAGAAAACTTGTCAAGCAGTGCTGACCACAAAGCTGCTGTGGTCATGTTTCGTTGTCAGCAGTGGACCGACAACAAACCGCAAAGGGTTAAAGAATTTCGTGTGGTCGGAATTTATTTGAGTGTCTCACTATGGTGTGCCTCATAGTCTTGTTGTGGCTTTGGCTCATAGTGGACAAAAAAATTATTTTTTTAATATCATTTAGTTTTGTTGCCTTTGATACTGCCATTATATCTTGATTTATGTATGGGGGAGTTAATGCATAATTTGTTGTAGTGTTTTATATGCATGAGTGTGTCTTCAGTCAGGGCTAGTAGAAATGCTGTTGCCACGTAGTTTATTACTCAACACTTTATGTACTTAATACTCAAACAGCTTTTTATTAGAATAAGTCTACTCTGAGATGTTTTTTTTTTTTGTGTTCATCTGTGTTTCGGTACTATATACAGGTTTGGGTGAAACCAGTTTACTCAGTATGCCAACAGGCTGTCTTATTTGCCAGAGTGCACTTTGTGTGAGCATACTATACTGGCAAGCACATATCTGGCTGGCTGATCTGCCTACCATCACGCCACATTTGTAGTATGTACATCGGTGTCGCGTGTGCCATTTTGAGGTAGGACGTATTAATGTGCGGGCACATGTTTCATGCCAATGTTGGAATAGGAATAAAATAAAAGGGCATGAAAAATAAAACACCGATAAATGCAATGCTTATTTTGTTTCCCCTCTTGTCTAGGTCTTTTATTTGTTGTATTTCGTATCATGAGTGCACTTACTCGTCACCATGCCAAGGTCACTATGCTTGCAATAACCACGTTTGATTTAACCTGAAACTTTGCTGATATCATATTCGTGTTAACAGCCTCATCACCCAACACCGAGGGTGAACCTGCTGAAGAAGCAGCCAATCAAACATCAGGTGTACCTAAAAAAAGCAAGACCTCTGCAGAAGCTGAACTACTACGGAAGGTGCAAATCTTGCGTCGTTTGGATGCACTGGGTCGGCTGCACGGTGAGACAAATGAGCTGCTAGAGAAAGAAGCCACCATCCGTCGTATGCTGGGAAAGTTGCTTAGCCAACACAAGTTGTTTGAGATGGATATTCGCAGCCTTCTGGAGCATCTAGAAGACTTCACCGCAGAAGCCAGGACAAGGCATTCTAGTGCCGATGGTCTGTGCACATCACCTCTTGTGCCTGCAACATCGTCAGATAACCCACTTTTCAGTGCAGAGGCCTTTGTCGCATTCATCATGAAACACCATTGTGAATTTACTGCTACAGAAGAGGCATCTCGATGACCATGGGAACTCGCTTACTCAAACAATCCTGCCAAGAAGTGCATTTCTTTTTGTCCTGCCAGTGCTGCTCCCACCTCCTGCTGCTTCATTGTGGGTAACTGGAGTACACTCCAATGGATCCCATGGAGATTTAGGAGTTGGCAGTGTCGTGGTAGTTTTTACTATGATCGTAAAAGCTTCTGATCATTGCGCAGCTCTTGGTTGTGGCCTAGTGAGCTCCGGAGAACCATCTATGCGTACATTTTACACAAAAATATTTTGGACTGCAATGTTGTGGTGCCCTCCAAAAATTGCCTAATCCTAGACTGATGCTGCATCGGATAATTAGTTGAACCAACTTTTATAGCCATGTGCCATATCTGTGAACTGTCCAGATTTTTTTCATGAAGTTTAGCTGTTTAGGCTAGTTAGATAATTATACAATTATTGTGATAATTTGGACTAAGTCAGAGTTGCACATTAGTTAAACTTGCCAGGTAGTAAATTGTCAGTGAAAATATTGAAGTGACCAAGAAGTTATGTACAAGTGCGATCAAAAGTTTGCAGACCACACGATTGCGTGGCAGAATGCATCGACGCGCCAGCTAGTGAAGAGACACGACGAGACACCTGCTGCAGGGCACATGCACATCCCGTCTTACTCTTGGCTTCTCATGTTGCTCTGTTGGGCATGGTTACGGCGCTCATAGCCAAAACGACAACTGGATGTCACTTTCTTTGCTCCATTGAATCTGTGTTGTTCTTTTAGGTAGCCGCTGCGACGGGGCCGGTTCAAGTGCCGGCTCGCGTTGTTATTGACACTGGTTGATTAGGATAAGTAAGCATAGCGGGCGTCGCACAACCTGACGAAGTCAAACGCACAAAATTAAATTTTCTCAGGCCAGCTTGCCTTTGTCGGGCTAATCCAAGTTGTACTTAAATGAGCTTAGTTAAGTCAAAGTAAATGTAGCTGAAATTAATCAAATGTAGTCGAGCACTTTATGACCTAAATAAGTCGGGCGTAACTAGGTTTAGTTAAGCCCAGACCAGCTTGGTGTTTTTTTGTTAAGCGAAGTTAAGCTTAGATCAGTCCAGATGAGTCAAAATAAGTATAGCCAAACCTAATTAGGCAAAGTTGATGCTCATTCTTAACCTAGCCGTGCAAAATTAGCCTATACAAGGTCAACCTTATCGCGGCCAATTACGGTAATCTATGTCAACTTCCATATGATCCCACAAAAGTCAAGGCCAGGAAGATACTATTTAATCTTTACTGACTCCATACTAATTAATATATTTTAGGTCTAATTGGTGCTGTTATTGTGAATTCCAATTATGACTGAATATTAGTCTGAAATCCAACTAAAGTATCCTGTATACTGGAATTTCATGTGGCCTAATTAGGTTAAACATGGATAACTAAGCTAATTAAGCAAACACCAAGGTAACTATAAATAAATCTGATTAAGCTTGGTTGGTCATAGCATCAACAAACCAATTGGATTATAATAAGCTTTAATTAAGCAACATATTATTAAAACAAATAATTAAGGTGATTGAAGTCAAATTTTCATGAGCTCAGAGAATCCAAGCTCGGCAAGATGCTGATTACTCTTGACAGAGTCGAGTCTCATTTACCTTAATATAAAATTAATTACCCTGAACATTATAAATATTACTGAATAATGTCCGTTATATCGAAGCCCACCTGAAGTACTCCAGTTTGGAGGTCTCAGAATTATGCTAATTATGCCTAGTTACGCCTAATATTGACATCTTTTGCTGCATAGGATGCTTTTGAGAGTAAAGGTGTTCAATGCAGTGTAATTATTTACGTCAATTTCCTCAGGGCAAGCACACTGTAAAATGCTAGTTCTCTTTTTTCAGGGAATATGCAACAAGATGTCTAAATTATAATAATGGGAATTGTGGTAATATCAAGAAATGCCAGTGAGGGCTCGAGGATGCGCCTTCGGTTTTGGCGGCAGCTTGCATTGACAAAAAAGCTGTCAGTCGGCCGCTAGTGTGTAGGGTTGCGTGCTATATCTAGGGTTGTGTTTTATATCTATATTATATTATTTTATATTTATAGCTGATTCCTCTTAATAATTGAACCCCTGAACGATGATTATGCCAAGCGACAGAAAGAGGCATAGGTTGAAGCATTCGCTCACATATGCTGCAGCAATTCTGTGTGGCCATCCTTAGCACGCTTAGTCCGACGCCTTACCTCCATTATCACTGCAATCGATGAGAGCCGACGGTCACATTGGCGGATGATGTTAACGGCTCCTAGGTAGAAGACTGTGGAAGCAGCATTGAAGTGGTAGTGCTTAATTTTGTATTTGCAATGCCATCATACGTGCCACTGGAGGAGCGAGAATGTATTGTGGAGCTGTCATTGCAGGAATGGTCCTAACGCGCAATCTGCCGCTTGATGAATAGGTCGAGGGCCGCAGTCAGCACAATTAGCAGGACCTTCCGCGACCATGGAGGAAATCTTGCTGACAGAAAGCGCTGTGGACTTCCAAGAGCAACGGACACTCCAACTGATTCGCTTATCGTTGCCTGTGTGGCGGTAGGCCCATTCATTGATGCCAAGGAAATTCGTCGTGGGCTTCAGCTAGACGTCTCCCTCAGCACTATTCAGCGGTGACTGCAAGAGGCGGAGCTGTGGGGCTGCTTGGCTGCTCAGAAACCCCAGTTGACGGAACGACAGAGGTAGCTAAGGCTCGAGTTTGCACGTTCTGTGGAGGGCTGGACGATGGAAGAATGGGGCGAAGTAATTTTCACCGACGAATCTACCTTCTCTTCACGATGGGACCAGCAGCGTCATGTATGGCGCCCTATGAATTGCAGGCGAGATTCACCCGCAGGTTTGATTCATGGCAGTTAAAAAATGAACTATTACTTCAGCAATGCCATTTGTCAGCTCCTCGCACTTTGTATCAAACCCTCCCGTGAACAACAACACTTATGATACAAATATCATTGCTTGTCTCCTTCCGAGGCCAGATCTATATATCTTTTCTCCCATAGAAGAAAGTATTTCAATGTAATATAACGCAGGCCTTGAAGCATCACTAGGTTACCTGCCGCGACTATTCCGTAGCGTCTGAACTATATACAGGTCGCTCCGCAGCTTACCCGAAAATTGCGGGTTCAATCTCTGCAGTGGCAATCGCATTTTTATGGAGTTGAAATGCTAAATGCTGGTGTATTGTACGATGTCAGTGCATGTTAAAAGAGGACCTGACAGTCAAAATTTTCGTAGCCCTCCACCATGGTATGCATGGCCTGTAATCCTACCATTGTGTTGGCACAAAAGATGACAGATATATTATTATGAGTAATTGATGCATACCGTACTCCGACAAAACACTGATTTTTCTGATCAAGTTCCCCCAGATACCTTCCAGAATACTGCCACAACGTTTTGTCCAGTGGACGCTGCGCCGTCAGCGCATGGGGAGCCATCAGCAAGGATAGACTCGGTCCACTTGTCTGAATCAATGGATCCTTCACGGCATCAGCCTATTCAAGCACGGCATCCGAGGTGTGGGAACACCTGCACTTTACCCTTGAGGTGGTCGTGAGGCTGTACAAGTTGATGCCGCAATGCGTCCCAGCCATCATCGCCGCCAACAGAAACCTGACACGTTAATGAGAAAATGTGTGGCAAGACACCTAGTGTTTACAACCTCACAAAATTAATTTCATCATCTTTTGGACCTTGGCAACCAGTCACATGGTCACTTTTGCCGAGATATTCTGCTCTGTTGAACAGAAGTGCTCAGGCGCAGCTTTGTTGTCGTCGTCATCCGCATGCTGACGGCTCGTCAAAAGTACAAGCTGTTATGGACCGAAGGATCCTTGGGTATTCAGCTGCCACTTAAAGAGGAGCAGCAATTATTAGGGGCGAAGCTCCTTATAGCAGCACCCGTTCGTCCCTCGTAGTCATAGTGTGTAACCAGTCCTACGCTTTGACCTCCAAGGTGGTGCCGGTGGAAGATTTCTCCTGTGCGTTGTTGAACAATAAAAAAAATTCACAGCGTGCGCGTTAACTAAAAGCCGAATTCTTCTGTCTCTCATTTACCATTAGCAGCCATTGGCATGTTCCAGTAGGAAACATTAGTAGAAGTAGAAGTGTTAAAAGCCGACTTCTGCTGTCTCTCATTCCCAGTAGCAGTCATTGTTTACCTCCAAGGTAGTGCCTGGGGAGATTTCTCCTGTGCGTGATTAAACAATAAAAAATTTTTGTTCAAAACACCGTTAATTGATGAAATAAACCAACAAAAGATGCCAGATGTTTTCTAAAAGCAAACGAAAAGACGCCAGATGTTTCTAAAGCAAAACAAAAAGAAGACGCCAGCTGCTTAACGAAAGACGCCAGGTGTTTTCTAAAGCAATAGTTTTATAATCAAAACCATATCGATACAGGTTTGTAGTTGCTGATGCTCGTTGCCGTCGGTGTGTTAGTATGGATAAGGATGACGAAAGGCGGGCGCGCTGGGTAGCGGTGGCACGCGCTCGCAGACAGGACCCTGAAGTGAGAGCACGCGAGGCAGAAGCGCGCCGGGAAGCTGCGCGATGTCGCCGCCAAGATCCTGCTGTACGGGAACAAGAAGCCACATCAGCAAGGCAGCGTCGGCAAGATCCCGCCGTACGTGAACAAGAAGCTGCAGCAGCACATCAGCGTCAGAAAGATCCCGCCATACGTGAACAAGAAGCTGCAGCGGCACGTCAGCGTCGGCAAGATCCTGCTGTACGGGAACAAGAAGCTACATCAACAAGGCAGCGTCGGCAAGATCCCGCCATACGTGAACAAGAAGCTGCAGCGGCACGTCAGCGTCAGCAAGATCCTTCTGTAAGGGAACGAGAGGCCGAGGCAGCACATCACCCTTTCGAAGCAGATCTTGAATACGTTCGACAATGGGAAGCGGCGAGGAAGCGCACATATCGCCAGGCGAATTAACGAAAGAAATTTTTACGGTAGGAGCTTCGCCCAATCTCATCATCATTCACCTCGTGGATCTGTCATGAATTTTTTTATTTTGACGAAGGAGAAAATTTTTTTGAATGTCTGAACTAATATTTGGTCATAAATAATATCCATAATAATTCGTACTAGTTAGACATGAATTAACTTCATCAGTATGATGGCGGTAAAAGTAATTAGTATCTTCCTGGCCTTGACTTTTGTGGGCTCATGGGGAAGTCGACATAGATTAATTGGTCGTGATAAGGTTTGCCTTGTATAGGCTAATTTCGCACGGCTAGGTTAAGGATGAGCATCATCAACTTTGCCTAATTAGATTTGGCTATACTTATTTCGACTCATCTGGGCTCATCTAAGCCTAACTTCGCTTAACATAAAAACATCAAGCTGGTCTGGGCTTAACTAAACCTAGTTACGCCCGACTTATTTAGGTCATAAAGTGCTCGACTACATTTGATTAATTTCAGCTACATTTACTTTGACTTAACTAAGCTCATTTAAGTACAACTTGGATTAGCCCGACAAAGGCAAGCTGGCCTGAGAAAATTTAA